GGGGGTTGGACTAGATGATCTCCTGAGGTCCCTTCCAACCCCTACCTTTCTGTGATTTCTGTGATATCTAACTCCCACTAAGGCGTCCTTAAGAAAAGGATGCAAACTTTTTGGGTTGTTTCTGTTGATAGTGTCCCTTTAAAATCAAAGCAGTGTTCAAAAGTCATGAAGAATATCAGACCTGGCAACAACTGAAAGCTATAAACAGGGATGAGAACGAGGGCACGCTCCCTTCCAACCCCTACCTTTCTGTGATTTCTGTGATATCTAACTCCCACTAAGGCGTCCTTAAGAAAAGGATGCAAACTTTTTGGGTTGTTTCTGTTGATAGTGTCCCTTTAAAATCAAAGCAGTGTTCAAAAGTCATGAAGAATATCAGACCTGGCAACAACTGAAAGCTATAAACAGGGATGAGAACGAGGGCACGCCTTATTACAACTGATCTCCTACTTGTATGCAAACAAAAACATTTCAGCAGTGCAGGACTCCAAAGGAAGCAAAGAATGTTAGTCAGAGAAATAATAAAGTGTTCTCTCTAATGCAAAATATCTGTCTTTGGTCTTTGTTGTTATTAGTGAACCTACTTGCTGGGATGCGGCAAATGTATTTTCAAGTCTGAGCCCTTCCTTTAATAGGGCAAATTAATTTTAAAATTAAATCTATGTTCAGAGACTTGGGGTTTTCAGCAATGGGAGAGTTACTGAAGGCAAGCTGTGTAATGCTCCTGGTGGCATCGGAGTGCCCCTGCAAATTATTTTTTACTTATAAAATCTGTTACAGCTCTTTTTGTCCAGTATTACTGACCTATCAAAGCACCTGGCATCCTCTGTCTGGACCGCTCTTGAACTGGTCTTTGGCAGTAAACTTTACCATGGGCCATATCAGCACTGAAGATCTCAAACATAATTAGAATCATTCTCACTGTAGTCTTGGATTTGGAAAATAAAACCTCCTTGCTTGCTCCTTTACAGAGAGACGTTCAATTTTAACATACTGGGTAGCATCCAAAAAGTCTTTGACTGAGCCAGGAGCTGAACCTAAGTCCTTCTATCTTGAGATAGTGTCTTAATCACAACCCAGTACAACCACCTTTCACTGAATTGTTTTAGTAGAAGCTCTTTAATTAGTATGGATAATACAATAGAATATAGACATTTATTCATTGCCAGAGAATTAGCCGTTCCTTTCCCCATTTCATCCTCGTCCCTTTTTTCTACTGTCATTGTTTCTAAATATTAATGCTTTTTTGCCTCCCTCCCTTGCTAAATAGAATTAAACTGTGTAAAATATTGCATTATATTGTGCACAGACATGGGATTTATGTTACTTGGCTTTTTTTTGGAGGTGGGAGGAGGGGGTGCCTTTTGAGTAGGAACATATTATATATATATGTTATATGTTCTTAATATATATATTATATATATTATTAT